GACGGTGGGCGCGCGGCGGGCCGTCAAAAGTGGCGGGCGAGATCGACGCCGGACCGGGCTGCCGTAAAATATAATAAACACTAATTGGCGTAAAACACTTAACTGATCGAACGGCACACGGCGATGACGCGACGCGGCTGAAAAGTCCCGGTATAAATTATAAATAAATAAATAACAATTACGGGCCGAGGGGAGATAAAGCCCCCGTGTCCCTCCGCCGTGGGATCCGCGCCTGGGTTATCGCACCGACGCGGTATCCTTCCACCACCACCACCACCCCCCCCTCGATTTAACGTTTTATCAAAAACGATGGCGGCCCGTGAACACGAACGAACATAACGGTCGACGATGGCGGTACCCGATCGGTTTCAATCGCGGACGCCGCGCGCGTCGCGCCTACAACGAGCCGCGGCGTCGAACGGCACCTGTCCGAATGTTCTCGTCGAAATTGACGCGGAGCCGCGTCCCGTCGGCCTACTCGTAACTTGTTTTCACTTTGGTCCGAGTATCGCGTCGAAATCAAAAGGAACGATTGCGATTGTTGATTTAACGCGAGTAAATGCGAAATAAACAAATAAATCGGAAGTTTGACGAAAAAAAAAAAACCCGGAGAGCTATTGGAAAGTATTTTGTCGAAAATGGATTTTTCGGATACGTATTTCGTCGAAAAGTATTTTGTCGGAACCGTTCAATATAATTTCACCGTAAGCACTCCGTGACAGCGTGTTATCGTCGTTGGGTAAAAATTATTTTCCGACAACATAGTTTCCAATGTGTTACGCGCGCCCGAAAAAACCTAAAAAGTAAAAAGTTACAAATAACTAATAGAATGATAAAGTAAAAACGAAAATCATTAAAACGGTCAACACTCGTAAATATACAAATTTTTTTATTCATACATTTATTCGCGATATGTTTTCATTAAAATTCAATTGAATTTTAATTTTTAAACACGCAACACACCTAGGCGTTCAATACGATAGTGCGTGTCGTTTTGCCCGTTGAGCCGCGAAAAACAATACACGGCTGTGAAAAAAAAAAATAAAATTTTTGTTTTCCTTCGATTGTGTACGTAAGTTGTGTTTATTGTTTGTTTTTTTTTTTTTGCCCGCGGTTCTACACGGAACCGTGCGAAACGCTCGTAACTCTCGCGGCGCACGCGTCCGTCACGCAGTCGTCGCAGACGGACCGGCCTCCGTCCTGCCCTCCGACATTGCACAGGCTAATAATGACGACTCCTCGACATCGCGTTATCCTGTTCGGACCCTCTTACCGCCCCTATTGTACACGCATAAAACTGTCTCGGTCGGTTATTATAATTGATAATACGTTGTTTTTTTTTTTTTTTTATTATTATTATTTTATTCGTCATAAAGGATTTCACGGGTTCTCAACGGATTTCAAAAAAAAAAAATACTACGTTGAAAAAATTAACATAAATATACACGTGTTGATTAATTAGATCTCGGTAATATTTTACGACCGCGACCTCGGACAAAAATCCAATTTCGTAAAATACAAAAAAAAAATTATTAACAATAAGACCGCGCAATATTGTTATTCGAACAGAGTTCCAGCGATTTAAATAATATAATTAAATTTTCGAGAGGACCGCGTATAGACGCGGACGAAAGCTAAACCAATTATTGTTTCGTCGTCGTCGTCGTCGTTTCCGAAACGCAATTAAAACCGTAGAAATATTTGTAATTTTTCCTCGCCGCACTCAAACGCTCGCCCGGCATACGCAGCAATAATTTAATACCCGAGTACGCTGGGGCAAGGTCGGATCGCGCACATCGTTTCGGACGGACGACACCCGAGTTAGAAACGAGACGGTAACGGGCCGAACCGCACAACCAAAAGAAAAAAAAAAATGAAAAAAAAAAAGAGACGTTCAACGGGATTAACGTTCGCGGTTGAGGGTGGGGGGGAGGAACTTTATTTAAAGAAGATTCGATAATTTCTCACTCCGCCGGTTCAGTTATTAGTGTACTAAATGAGTTTTTTTTTTTTTTTTTGTTCGCGAAATATTATAAGACGACGTGTTTACTTTTTTCGAACCCGTCGAATTAAATTATTGTTTAATTTGTTTTTTTTTTTTTTTCTGTTGTTGCCCGCAGGAGTCTGTCTAATGAACGTCCGGGGACGTCGCGCGGTTTTCACGCGATGCCGTCGTGAAATATTTTACGCGTAACCCCGCCCCCCGCCCCCATTTTACCCGTATCCGTAAACCGGGGCCGAAAATATCGAACGCAAAGCGGCCGCGATCCTTAGTGCAGTCCCATACTACCGTATAAGTAAACCAAAACACAAATATAATATTGCATTATGCCTGGAATATTTTTTAATGCGGTTAACCGGAATCGGTTTAGTCTGATTAAAACTGTAAAACTACGTTAAAAAAAAAAAAAAATCTAATTAAAATCTTAATGCTCATTACGGGCAATGATATCCGCGAGTTGTCAACTTTATCCAATTATCATCATATTTTTTTCCGCAAATAAACTCGTGTGTGTGTATACATATATATATCTATATATGAGTATATTATTGCGTGCAATTTTTTTCCCTTTAAAAAAGTAGTTTTCCTTGTTCACGCGTCATGTTGTTTTATGTACACGCACTAATGCCCGTAGACAAAAATATGAACCTAGAAAACCGACAGTTGTCGGCGGGGACGCGGAGTCTGGAAACAATTTTTAATTAGTTTTTTTTTTTTTCAACGCTACTGTGTTTTATACGAGTATATTACGACCGCGGGAAAATCGACTTAAACTCTTAAACTCGTTAATACGCGCGACGGAAACTTGCTAAATTTCTAGATAAATTTATTATGTATGTACACTATACGTGTAAAAAAAAAAAAAAAAAAATACACTCAGAATCTGAAATAATAATAGCAATAAAAAAACTACTGAATAACGGCCCGTAATTTTTACGAGTACGGATTTGACGTTCGCTAAACGCGAAATTCGATTAGTGTCTCAAACGCCACAGGTTAACCGAAATTCTCGCGGAAAACGATTGTTTGAATTGTAACGGTACGTATATACTAATCGGCGAACATTGTTGATGTTTCATTGTGCGACGGATTCTATTCCGTGCAAAAAGCCGTTTCAAACGCGCTATTTGCCGACAAGTTTCGACGTAAAACGGATACCGAGAACACGATCAAGTAAACAGTTTGACGATTGTCGCCCGAACGGCTTCAAATTTTCAAAAACAATTTCATTTACGTTTCCACCGTCGAACTATGTAACTACGCTATAATTACCGAGCCAATCAACTGCGGTAGTTGAAACCTCCCTTGACGGACGCAGCTCTTGATAGCGGACACTATCAATTGGCGGGCGTTTTTTTCGGTGACCGGGACATTTTCACTATTTATGCGTCGGAAAACCTCTGAATACAGAACACCGGTCGTTCTGATAACGGACACTTATTAACATTGATATTGACAATTCATATCGTAAATCAAGAACAATTGCAGAACACCTAAACAGAAGTCTACACTAAATTACGTTATTCTTTATTAACCATACGTGTACACTGTTAAACTGTACGTGAATATATTACTGCGTTGTCTTGCCAGTCTTTGAAATATTATCGCGCCGATGAAATGTTGTAACCGTAAAGCGTTTTTAATTAACGTAAAAATACGCTAAAATGTATTTAACCAATTACTTAATAAAAATACGATTTCTCCCTCTAAATAGCGGACGCATTTTCAGCGACCCAAGAGTGTCCGGTTTTTTGAGGTTTCACTGTATCACAGTGATAATATAGCAATACTCGGTCGTACCACAACGGGTACAAACCGAAAATATGTGTCAGGAAAAACGTTTTTTTTTTTTTGGTCATTTATATTGTTATCACTGCATTTAAAACGCGTGTAAGTTTATACGCGTACCGGGGTACGTACGGAGTGATCCATCTGAGTAAAAAGCGACACCCGATATTTGGAAAAGTTTCGAGTACATTCTTAAGAAAAAAAAAAAAAAAAAAAACCAATTTGATAATTTAACCTTTATACCTATCTATATTGTTTTCCATTGAAAAACAGTACAAAGAAAGTTGTCGTTTCACCCCGATGACAAAAAATAATGTCCATGCAATATTTTAAAACTGCTTGTTTTTTGAATCGTCAAAAAAAAAAAATTCAAAATATCCAGCAACACCACTTAAACGGATCGCCGTGTAACGTAATAAATTTGATGACTGTATGCGATTAAGTCGTTTCAGTGCAGATGGAACTCGACCTTGTGATTTTCTTTTCCACGCTCAGCTCGTTAAAATACACCGGCTTATGGCTTTTTTTTTTCACACCCATTTTAAAAAAAAATCCCGGAATGGACGAACGCCTTAAAAATGTCCCCTAAGCAGGTGACAGTTGCGATATACGGGGTGATTCACTAAACGTTCTCACCCCATTTTCACATTTAATTTTAGGTAGTACTGGAGTAATAATAAAATGCCGCGCACCGTGCCGCTACACAAATGATTATCCACTAATCTCCCCCTGTCTAAAATTAAATGTGAAATACCTCGTCAACTGGTTTTTGACGCAAATCAAACATTTTAATTCCGAAATTTATCTAAAGTAATACTCCGTGTATGTAAGGGTTTTTTTTTTTTTTTTTATAGATTCTCATTCGAAAACCAATGTTGGTCTATACTCGACACAGGATGCTCCTTAAACGTTGTGAACAACATAAGCATTCGAAAACATCGGCTATAAAGACACTTGAAAATTTTAACAATTTTACGTATGCGAAATTTAACCGAAAAAACTGGGCGCTCACAGCATTTCGTGAATTGTCCTGTATAGCGAGTAGTGCGCATAACGCGTTCTTCGCAAAAATGCAGTGGCGGGCTATAGAATAAAAAATCTCTTCGAAATTGGTCAGTACCCATACATACATATTGGATCCGGGTGACGATTTGTCGAAATCGTAGGCGATTTGTTCGGCGAGTACATTTTCCGTGTACATTATATACATATAGGCACCGTTGCAGTCCTATAATATAGTGAGCTCGATTCGATTACTTTTATTTCGTCTGTGGCCCGTCTGTCTCGCGATCCATTCTGCTCGCCAAAAGATCGAGGCCTCCGAGACTCTTGACCGCACGGGTGCAACGGTCCGGACCATTCGTGCAAACACTCACTTTGCCGCCGCTATATTTTCCTCGACGTTCTATTTATTTACCCGTCACAAACACTGCTGCACCGCGAGTATTTCAGAAAAAATACAAAATACAAAATTCTGTAGGGGTCGAAGTGACGACCGTCGCGTGTGCCGGGAATTTTTTTAAGGGGATGTTCCGTACTTAAACGGACGCACAGTTAAGTCCGTTGCACACTCTATGTAACAGAATCATACAATGGTTACCGAGTGTTCACTAGAAAACGAATAGTAAATATTATTGACTAGCTGTCCCGGCAATACTTTGCTATTGCTAGAATTTTTTATGATTATTATTTTTTTTTTTTTGTAGCCGAATTCCCCGACATATTTTCATATTTCGTAATGTATTGTAATATGCGAACGTGTAAATAAGCCATATCCGTCGTAAAATGTTCGTTTGAAATTATAGTTTCGATAATGTTGTCGATCAATTTTTTTACCGATAGCCTAGTGTCATTGAAAAGGCGCGGTGGATTGACGTTTCGTAGAAGAACGCTGGGCACGCCAGTTTTCAATCTGGGATCGTGCGGTGGCAAGTTTTGCACATCAAGTGAATTTAACATTTCAGTTGGATGTAATTGACAACATTCATTACAGTATAGACGGACTTGTACACTGTGATGTCGCCTGGAATTTCGTTTTGTATGCTCGTTTGAACGGGCTCGAGCATTATGTTCTCGGTCGGATTTCAATCTTGCATCTCGTTGTCCGTTTGTTTCTGAAGCTCGTGTCGCCCTTTCAGCTCCCGTTTCAGACGTAGAACAACCGATCTCCCGTTTTTCGAGAGGCGTAAATTTCACTGTCAAAATGAAATTAAATTCGAAACGAATTTAAATTTGTTGGGCGTTCAACCAAAATCGCAATGAATTTGACGAGCGTTATTTAATCGATACCGTCGTACGTTAGGTTTATCGTTTCACCGCGCAGTGCGGTATCTAATCAACGCGCGTTACGATTACATTACGGGTACGTAAAAGGACGGACGCGCTCGCGTACGCGGGCATTTTCGCGTACATTTACGAGTGCGTGTCCCGTACATTACCGGGAGACCACGGGATTATAGCGGATTGACGACGCATTATTCACGCGCGCACAATATTTAGTAACCATTTAGTATCACGACGGGCCGCGTTCGTAAATCATTAAATAGTAATTCGGGTCAGATCAGGACAACATTGTACAACGACGGACGTTTTGTGCGCCCGGTTTCGGCGTTCCGGCCGACGATGATTACGTTCCGGTGCCGCGGTCCGCGCGCGCGCGTTAACACCCGGCAGTTGATAGCGAAATCGTCGTCTCGACAAGTTTATCGCGTTTTATCCGTGTTGCGCGTGTGTTATCATAATGCGGGTAGTCCTCGGGGCTGAGAACGTCGCGTCTCGCTCAAGGCGACGGGTACCGACGAGTTTCCGTCATTGTCTTACACACACGCGGGATGTAGGGATTCAGATATAGGGACTATAGCGTTTTGTTTCCGACGTACCGATTGATCTAGTAAAGCGATAAGAGATCTAAAATCACATTTGAATCTGTCGTGAAGAGTCTACTCGAGATCGGCTTTAACGATTTTTGATTTTAATTTCTCAAAAACTTAAAGTTGTCCGTTTTTCCAACTACTCTTTTACTAGTATGTCCTTTTTTGTTTTAGAATTTAAAGGGATAAATTTAAATAGAGGGAAAGTCGATCTCGAGTAGACTCCACGACAAATTCAAATTTGTTTCCAGAATTCTTATCGTTTCACCAGATCAATCGGTACGTTGGAATTAGAACACGTCTGAATTCCTTTATCTCACGCGTGTAAGACAAAGACTGAAACTCGTCGCTTCCAATCACCTCAAACGCGACTTTGGACACCCTACTATACTCGCGGTTGCCAAAAACCAAATTTTACATATTTGTTTCGTAAACGTCGCATTTCAATTATAGTAGTTAATTACAAACAGACGCTTTTCATAGTTACTTAAGAAAAATAACAACAATATTGAAAAAACGTTACTTGTAGTGTTCAAAAGTAATATAGGTACTGAATTGAATATTTTCACTCGTCAGAACGTATCAGTTTATTAATTTAGTTTTTGAACGTTTCAAACGTTTGTGTAAACACAATTTCGAACCTAAGGACTTGTGTAAAACGTTTTAAACAAGTGTTAAAAAACGTTTTGCAACCGTATTCCTATTGTATAATAGATGTGTAAATGTGTGTGTGTGTGTGTGTGTCAAACAAATACCGGGAATAACCGAGAATAATTTCAAATATAACACGCGTATGGACGTGAACGAGATGAAAGCCTACAATTTAGTCGATTTTCGCTTTTAACCTTTGATTTTTCATCGAATTGAATTCTTTTTTCTTGCCACGATAAACACCGAGCGTCATTGCTGTAAACATTATTTCCTTAATTTTCGATTCGGGTAAATTTCGATTTCGCGTGCATTCGCCGCACGCGATCTGCGCGCGTACCGCGGCACAAACGACCGTCCATCTCTCTACGTCTGCCAGTCGGCGACTCGGCGCGTCGGCTCGTGCGTCTCGTCGAAACCCGACGGGAAACGATACCGCGGCCCCCGGGAAATAGTGATTTTCGAACATTCAAAAGCGTCTCGAAACATCCCAACGCCGGCCGGAACAGTACACGCAAGATGGGCAGTCCGATTGTATCGCGCGGGTCGCGCGTTCGTCGCCGTTCGTACGGCGACGGTGTTGCCGCGTCCGAACCGTTCGGCTTCCGCGCGGCCGTACCGCCGCGGACCGCGAATACGACGAATTAGTCCGCGACCGCGACGCTCGACAATAATATCCGGGCGGCGGCTGAAATTCCATTTTTTTTTTTCGTTCGACCGATCTCCGGGACGCCAACGGCACAACGGTACCGTAAACGCGCACGCACGCCCGGACGGCCCGGGCCGTTCGGGGAACGCGCGTAATTCGTTTGGACCCGCGCCAAATCATCGGGCGAAACGTATTTCCACGGTTTGTTTTCGAACAACAATGAATACAATAATAAAGAATTCGCGTTTTTCCCCCGTTTCGGACCCGGATCTCGTTTATTTCCCGGCGCGCGGGACGTGCAGATTCGCCTACATTTGTCTCGCGCCGCGGCGGCGGAAAATCGGGCGCTCGCCCGCTCTGCCCGCCTCCTTCCGCCGCCGCCCTACGGCCCCCCCCCTCCCCCCTCCACCTCACAGCCACCGAGGTCGTCGTATTTCGGCACGGCGTTTTATGTTAAACTCGACGTAGGTACCGATGTGGAATTCGGAGCGAGTGACGGGGAGAGGGGACGACGGGAAACCCCGTTTCGAAAACTCCGCGAGGTTTTCCGGCGATAAAATTGTGTTCCGCGAGCTAACCGAGGTACGATCATGAGTCGCGGCGAATCCGGACCGGCGACGGTTCGAATTGTAAATAAAGGGGGTGAGAAAATTTTGTTTTTTTTTTCACCGGGCCACTGCAGACGGCTGCGGTGATGTGTTATAAACGAATTGATTTTCGGGTAGACTCCGTATTGACATTGAAGATAAATTCGTCAGAGTATATCGGACATTTTTTTTCGTGTGCGTTTAATTTATAATCTGTCATATTGGTCTATAGATTTTAGTTTTATTATTTTCATTTATCGTGTGCGTTAGGTAATTAATAATAATACGTTTTAGATACTGAGTGAAGCGAGGAATCGATTGGTTTTACTATGATGTGTGTTGTATTTTTTTTTTCTGACTGCAAACAACTCTTTTCCCGGCAATCTTGCTCCAATCAAAATATGACAAAAGACCTTTTTTTATTGCACTTTGGCCCCAGTCGGTATGTACTTAAAAAAAAGGTCATATTTTAAAATTCTTATAAATATTCGATACAATGGCGAAAAACAGGTTCTTTAGGTTGAGAAAGATTAACTGATTAAAACTACGGTTGTCATTGATAACCGTTCTTGTTTATTTTTAATTATTATTAAGTTTTTATTATTTTTATCTCTTTTTAAACAACCGGCATTGTCGCGAAAGCGCACATTGGTTTTTGTTTTATAATCCCTTTTATTTTTAGATTTTTTCTTCGCTCGGAAACTTTTTTTTGCCAAACAACGGTGTGTCGTTGCTTACTGTTATAAACCAAACGACTTTACGTATCTCACCTCCCCAACCGCGGTCACCGAAAACAGCGGCCGCGCCTTTCCCTAATATCGGTTATTTTTTTGTCTCGCGGAAGTCGATATTCGAAACGACAGCAATACGATTCACGGTGTGAAACAAGTTCGGTCGCCCCCCAATACGCGTATAATAACACGTTTATTCGTGATTATAATATTGTTTTCGGGCGCGCCACTGCGTGTACCGCGCGTTTAGCCTCGAGTCCTACGACGGTCGCGCGGTTTTCGACTTTTGCGCCGCACAAAACGGGGGCCGCACAGTCGACACACGTAAAACAATATTAATAATATGCGCGTGTGGAAAACGATAATTCCGGCAAAGTTTCCGGAATCTTTATGCGACCCCCGGGGAGACGGAGACGGTTTCGCGAGCACGGGATTTTATAGCGGTTTCCCGCGGGAGACGCGCGCTGTCGGGGACATGTGTTATAACGTACACGCCTAAAACTACTGATGATACTCGCGCCGCCGTTGTCGCGGGATAAACGGAATTTCCGCGCGTGTGTTATAATAACGAGATTCCTACCGGGGCGGTAAAAAGTCGATGGGGGAAAAAGAAAAATAAAAAAAAAAAAAAAACGGGAAAAATCTACAGTGTTCATTACCGAAAACAGTTTCGCGCCGGGGTTATCGTAAAAAAACAAAACAAAAAAAAAAAAAAAAAAATAAACAAAAAGAAAACTACCGAAAGTTCAGAGTATACGGTATACGCGTATATATACGTATATACACGAGTATGGGGTACGGGCGGTATACTTTACGTACCTACCTATCTGAATAAAAACAATTTTAAAAAACAAACTTCATACGCGCGGATGCCGCAACAAGGAGCTCAACGGTGCAGTCGGTTTTTTTTTTATTATTATTATTATTATTATTCGTATACATATACTTTGCTCGGATACGTTTGTCGTTTGTCTATAACAGAAAGTTTCGGTTTTCGGTTTTTCTTCGTTCCGTATACATATACACGAATATTATATTCTACATTGGTATTAATCAACCGCGAATATTTTTGCACTCGAAACTTCGCGCGCGTCCCGACTCTCGACGACGCGTGTTTTAAACAAACGGAAAAAAAAAAAAAAAAAACCATTTCATAATAAAATAATAATATTATCGTCTGCGCGTGTTTGCCGTGTATGGATCTTGACGGGCAACGAAAAACGGCCAACAGTCGGGCTGCGGACGACGCGAAACTTTCTAACAATGCAATAAAACATCGGTTAAAACATTTTGACGACAAAAAAAAAAAAAAAAAAAGAAGAACATAATAAGAAAAAAACTCGAGTCGATCCGAGTAATATTTTGAAGGCCACTCGAGAGTTGTATGGCAAGGGGATTTTTTTCACTCGTTTCGTACATAATACCTATATGCATGTGTATAGGGTGATTCAATTAGCATGTTTACTCCGTTTAAAATGTTAGATCAAATTCTAAACCTTGGAATTTTAAAATGTGATTAAAGCCGACAGTTTCGAATACTTGGGTTTTTCACAACATTTAAGCATTATCCCGTAAATCCGATGAATTTTTCTGAAAATGCGAATGCGAATTATATGGTAATGGAAATTTGAACAAAATGTTGTTGAGTTATTCTACTTTAAAACACTAAGGACCACATTCCAAAAAGCATTTGTTCTTTGTTTGGCGACACGGTGAACGGCGTATTCCTAACGCAGCGATGATTGACGAAAATCAAAACATTTCAACACCAAAATGTAGTTAAACTAACACTTCATTTATTAATGGAATTTTGAATATACCTGGGTTCTCATTTGAAAAACTAAAGTTGAAATTGCCACAGTACATTCCTTAAATGCAGTGAAAAATATAAGTATTCGAAACAATCAGATCCGAC